CGTTTTGCTTTCGGCCCCTACATTGCTACTATGTTTACCTCGACTTTAGTTCCAACCCAATCCCAGCCTCAATCTCCAGTTTCGAAACTAACAAATTTTCAAATCAAGGAAAAGATTAGCATAAAAAATTTGAAAAAAAGAAATTCAAGAAATTCTCCAGCGTCAAATATGGCTCGTACATTTTAAGAAATTAATAAAATGATGATATAGCACTACTTATACTTTAATAAACGCTTTAAAAAAGTATTGATTTTAAGTCAACTTATTTCCTAAATTATTATTTTTGTGTCAACTTGCCTCTCTCTATTAATGAAACAACATTACTTCCGGGAGTGTTTTTATAACCACTTTTCATACTTCGAGAGGTAAAATAATAGGCTCGTTGCAAACCTTCAGAGATGAATTTGAAGCAAAATAAAAGGAGAAAAGCATCGCCCTTCAAGCTGAAGTTCGGAGTCCCATTGAAGATAATATGTCAAATGACAAGGAAGATTTGATCGAATCTCTTGCTTTGCTGACCAAGAATTTTAACAAATGAGAGAAGAAACAATAAGATAAGAGAAACGGATTCCTTTACTCATTAAGTTGAAAAAGAATTTCTTGATGTGGTAAGATCTCTCATTCGCGGGACAGAAAGGGGCAAGGTATAAGGGATAGTTACATTTGAGCCCTTTCTTGAATTTAAGTATATATGCAAAATTCAGTGAAGTTAAGGATATATGCAACGTTCAGAAGCAAAAAAAAAAATATATATGTAACAAAGTTGGTAAAACCCCTATTTTGTGTCATTTTTATATTGTAAGGAGCAAAGTGAGATATATTTGCAAAATAACTGAAAAATGGAAATGGCAGGGAGTGATGACAAGATTGCAAATGAAGTCGACTTTGAACGGCACAGGCCACTCTTCGACGCTGTCAGACATGGTAATTGGGAGACGGCTAAGACGTATCTTGACCAACATCCTGATGCAGTGAGAGCGAGAATCGTTGTTTCGGGCAATACTCTACTTCACGTCGCAGTGAGTGCTGGACATTTGCACATTGTGAAGGAGTTGGTGCAATTATTGACTGAAGAAGACCTACTGATGCGACAGAAGGATGGTTTGACAGTTCTTACAGCTGCCATATTTATCGGAAACATTTCCATCGCTAAATGCTTGATTAGAAAGAACAAGAAACTAGTTCGCATTTTTCCTACTTATCTTGACATTCCAATCAGCGTTGCTGTCACCTTAGGCTTTCAAGAAATGGCGCGTTATCTTTATTCTGAAACACCAGAAGAAGATCTAACGTTGCCAGAGAATGGCAAGATAATCTCTTCCCTCATTTCCGAAAGTATATACCGAAAACAATTTGGTAAGTGTTCAACGAATAAACAAATATTGTTGGATAGTCTGTGGTTTTTTTGAGAAAACGTTAGAGTATGCTCACTCATATAACCGTACAGTACCAGGGTTTTGAAACGAAATTTATTTCTCTTTCCC